TATAAAAAAGAATAATTACTTTGATATAATTTATATGGTATCAAAGAGGGAAATGGGCCTTCAGTAAGACGTGTTAAAAAAGTGATGTCCTTTTCCTGAGGTTTTTGTCTGCAGTTGAGTTTTTTCTCACTAAATATACTAGTAGTCTAGAAAACCCTGCAAAGGGCATGTCAATGGCTTATAATTCACTGAGGAACAAATTCTCGTATATTGGTAAAGTGGTCACACCAGAGCTTCAGTTCACTGTGACTCACTGGTTTGTGTGTATCAGGTCAGCTAAGGAGAGGGCATTCCTTAAGCCAAGCACACAGCTCTCCCACAACCAGTTTCTAAATATGTGTACGTGTGACATTAACCTTATTTAGACACGGTCCCATTTCCCATCAATGTACAAGGTATCAGATTAACTTAAAACAGGGTGGAGAGAAATTACCAAATGAAATAAAACAAAACAACAAAAAATTATAGCAAAAATCTGTACATGTAAACATCACACTTCCACTGAGTCCAAAATCAGGAGGAAAATACAGTTTCACATTGGTATTAGGTACAAATCAAAACTGAGAAAGACAATCAGCTTCTGGTACAGTAGGTAAAGTGGAAAACCTAAAACAGAACCGAGGAATCCAAAGCACCACCAAATTATAAAATAAAACAGACTATGGTCGGAAAAACTATTTTAATTTCACTGTAGCAGTACACTGCCATGTTAGAAAAATAAAAAGTTACGTCTTTTTTTTTCTCCTTTCTTGTTTTTTATGTCGCGCTATACATCTGACCAAAGCAGATCTTTATTTTTAAATGTGTGTTCATTCGTGGTACCCTGACCAGCACCACACATATTTTTGCTCCTGTCCGAGTGGAACCATCTCTATTGGGGGGTGACATTTGTAAAGTCAATGAGGTCCAATGTCAGTTGGTGCTTAAAACAGTATGATCAGGGATAAGGGAATCACACCTTTCCCACACTCAAAACACTGCCCCTTCACTGAAGTGCTGACACTGCTGCATAGCATTCCCAGGTGGAGAGATACATACCGTAATCTGGGAGTTGGAGTTTCATGAAGGCCATGGTTAAGGCCGCAGACTTGGTCTGAGCTTGGTTGGCACTTTCTCTGGCATGTCAAGTTTTTTTGGCCCTAAGCAGGAGAATAATCATGGCTCCAATCAACAACATGTTTGATGCTAATCACAAGGTCAACAATGCTAATCTTAACAGAGAGCACTCCCTCAAGCATTTGGCAGGGTGTGGGTTTTGTGTTGGGCACAGATGTCACATCACTAAACGTGATGCTGGTCAGGTTGGTTGTTAAACGTGTTGACATCCTTGTTTGGAATGTACAGTATAGGCATACAGAGTAACTTCACTTGAGATGTTGGTATTGTACAAAATATTATTTGAAAATACCACTTACTTGCACTACAAAATATGTATAAAATAATAATAAAAATAGAAATCAGATAAAAATGTGTATCGACAGTGGGCAACTATGAGTGCTCCACTGCCATTGAGGAGCCAGAAGTTTGAGTAAGAATGCTGTGATTATGGCTGAAATACTCAAAGACGCACTGTATACAATAGCTGCACACAGAAAGGAATGGAAATGAAACAGTGAGCAAGTTACATATTCCCAAGATTGTCTTTTGCCTATTTTTACAGTATGTTTTCTTAACGTATGTAGCTGTCTGTGAGAAACTACAGAGCAAACCCCAGAGGTGCAAACGGAGGAGGGAGGAGTATTTAGTGAGAGCTTTACTATATAATCTCATCTCTTACCACCTTCTTAAAGATACATTTAATTGTCCCTTGTCTATATTACAAATGCATAACTTCACAATCTTCTTCTTCTTCTTTTTCACTAAACCATATAGCAGACGTTTGTGGCATGTGACGTTACAAAATTCAGCAACTGGTCATTTCTAAAGAGGTAGGATCCATCCATCCATCGCTCTGTGTTGACCTGGGGTAGTAGGGAAATACAGAGGACGGCAAAACTGGCACTACCAACTGCTCTGTAAGATCAGAAACTCTTACAGCACTATGTACAGTTTGGCCACAGTGCTGCGTGTACTACTTGTCTGGCAATCCTTTGAAACCTCAAACCTGCAGTGGCAAAAAAGGCAGTTTTAAGACTGAAGTGAATAAGACAGTTAAGAGAATCCCCTTCTAAATTAATTCTAGCCTACCCAGATAAAAAAAACTGCATATTAATCTACTGTACTGAGAGAATTGTAGCCTAAGACCCCAGGGCATGAGCAGAGTGAAGGATGGATCCGCAGAAATGAGGGCGATACTAATAAGAAAACACATTTTGAAGCCATCACAGCCACATTGAGAGAGAACACAGTGAGGGGGTTTCCTCTTGACTGTTCATTTTGCATATTTCTCTTGTGTTTGTCGTTTTTTTACCCACTAAGCAGATTCAATCAAGAGCTTGCTCTGAGATAAAGAGGACTTCTTGGACTTTCTATCTAGGTATACTATTTCCATTAATGAAATATTTTTTCTTAATCAAATTGTACTCATTATGGAGATCAGATTTGACATTGCACATGTATGCTGGGCGGATAGATCAAGGTGTTGTTCTGTGGTTCAGTGTCGCCAGTGCTCCATTCAATCTCTCACAGGGGTCTTGACTAGATGGGATGCCGCTAATGTCATTAGTGACTTTTTGTAGCAGGTTAGGAGAACTTATGCAGCAGGTTAGGAGAATTAACATAGCAGGTTAGGAGAATTAGGTTAAGGTTAGGAAAAGAGTTAAGGTTAGCTAAAATGCAAAAATTCTCCCTGACGTGACTCGAATATACACGTTTTGACATCACTTTGACATTAGGGGAATCCCTTCTAGACATGACCTCTCACAGGCCACGGAGCTAGCGCACCTAAATCAATGGCTTTCATTTACACGATAGTGGTGGTCGTATGTGATACGTTGTACAACTCGCACTTTGGGCTCAGGTAGCCTCTTTTTTGTTAACACTATGCAGTCAAGGGCCAGGAATGTGATGATTATCAACTGCATTGCGATACTCTTCCTCTTTCCTTTAGTAGGACACACCTCACCAGTGCAAGATGGACCCCTGAACAAGCAGGGCCTTCATCACAGATTTCTGTTGCTTCAGTGTGCAAAAGGGAGCAAATTACAGTGACACAACATTGAGCCCCTTCAGGCCTGCCTCTTGAAGAAACATTTAGTATTTTATTTCTCCCATTCTAAAAAGGTACAAACCTCCCAGACTTTGACCGCACATTGTACAGTAAGATAGATAGGCCCAGATCACCCTTGTGAATGGCTGCAAGAGGAGCACATTGATCCTTATTATATGCCTCCAGAGGTTCATACTCATGAAGAAAACTAAAAAGAAAAAAGTTAATGTAAAAACAACACAGCCTTATGAAAGAACAAAAATATCAACCAGAGTGCCTAGTAGCAGAGAGAAGCAACTGACTCAGATGGCATGTCGTTTTCAAATATTAGATTTTTGTCTCTTATCCGTCTTCAGTAGTTCTTGCTTATTTTTGTTTGTGTTGTTGTCTTGAGGTGCTCTGGTTGTGCAGGAGGCTGGCGTCCTGACTTGAGGTTATAGGTCTGTGGCAAAGGTCCGGTCCATATAGCAGCAGCGTGGATTAATGGCCATCTCAAAGAGTCAATAGACAAAGAAATACAGAATTCCTCCCAGAACCAAGCTGGACGGAGCTCAGGTAAGGTTGGGGGGGGGGGGGTATAGGTCCGGAGGAGTGGGGTAGGTTAGAGAGAGGAATGCAGAACCAGACCCAGAAAGAGACGGTATCATCGAGTGATGAGTGTTGACAACCAGGTCGGACAAACCAAAACCTGGAATTGATGGGGGAGCAACGAGCCATCAGGGGGTGGAAAACATGTAGGCCTCTGGAAAAAAATCTCCAGCTATCTTCGGAGAGGTTCAGTCTCCCACAGAACATACTTCCTTGCCCCCAGTCCTTCACTTTACTGATGCTTCTAGAATCAAATATGGACTGAATATATACAGTACACAAATAACGGGACAAACAATACTTTGTTTGGGATCAAATTTGAACTATAGTTACAATATTTATTCTGGAATCTTCTTGAAATGGTTAAGACTTTGCTTCCTGCAGGTCTTTGAAAACACTGAACACATCAGGTACTGGTGAGCGTTGTGTGATGGCGCCACCCAGTATGAATGAAGTACTAGAACGGTTGGTTGGTAGATCTGAGGTATTTCCATGTGGAAAAGATGGCGTCTCCATAATGCATAAGTTAAAGTGTTGCTCCCAGGACATCAAGGTCTTTATTCCTCAAGGGGAGGTGAGGTCTGAATCAGGGGAAAGTGCTTTAGGACACAGACAGCTTATTTACAGCGAGCGTCTCTTTTTTTCTTTTTTTTCCCCAGTCTTCTTCTTTAGCCTCTGTTCCTTAACAAAGTGGTTCAAAGTGTCTTAGAGTTAGTGCTCTCTTTTTAGATCAGTCAACACCCCTTTTCAGTAGCTCGGAATGGAGCCAAAAGAAACGTAAATATTCTACAGGCTTTGAAAAAACAAAACAAAACAAATTCAAATCAAAGTATTTGTCATCAACAAACAATTTTTTTGTACTAATCAGGGAGTACTTTCATTGTTATTGGGGATGGCGAGGTTGGTGAGGGGATCTGTGTCCTGCAGCACATAGAGCTTCCTGGCACACAAAAAGGACCACTTATTTTCTTCATACACAAGGGGGCGCTCTTCTCTCATTACAGCACAACCCTGCAGTGTTCCCCAGTGCACCAGCCCCACCAATCTCTCCCCCACACTAGGTAGACTAATTTCCGGCTGTCTGGGACTCTCTGTGTCATCCCTCTTCTTCCCACAAAGCTGTGGGAGTGATGGAGGGCTGTTATGATTGGGAGGGAGCGTGTTCCTTTACAGGTGGTTCAAGAGAGGGAGAAACACTGTTCCAAAGTGGTCACAGACAGTGCTCTTTCCCTCCACGCACTAATGCCAAAACAATCAAGGGGGTTTGGACTATTAGACTAGAGGAAGGTAGCACTGTTGCATGCCTTCTTTCCTGGCGATGGGGAGAATGTAAAGGTTGGTGGAGGAGGACGAATCACGGACAGATGGATCTGGTGAGTGGGAGAGTGGTTGGTCGGTTAGTTAGGGGTCGTGTGGGAGAGTCGGAGTGAGAGAGGGAGAAGGAGTGAGTCGGGGGGAGGTGGGGTTTTCATCTCAGTTCTGCTGCAGGATCAGGGTCTCCAGCTCGTCGGCCGAGCGGAGCAGGAAGGCAGCTGACTCGCGGTAGCCGGCGATGAGCTGCCGCACGGCTGTGATCTCCGTGGGGCTGAGCTGTGCCGAGGCCCCACTCCCTCCGCCGCCACCGCTCCGCCCGTGGCTGTTGGAGCTGGCCGATGACGAGTTGGACACCAGGGACTTCATGCTGAGGTCAGTAGGGCCTGGGGAAAGACACACTCAAATTAAGACACCTACTGGGGGCATTTTACTACAAATGTAACTCTTAGAAATCATAAATATGCATTCTTATCCACTTATCAACAGTAGGAAATATATTTTAGATGAGTTCCACCTGTATGTTTGTAAATGTTTGCTACATGCAAATACGGGCAAGAATAGTTTTCTCAATAGGTCTCAGTCCATTCTAAACTAGGCCAGTGATGCTGCTACAGTACGAGCAACATGCTTCAGGTAAGCTAAGGTATGCTGCTACTCTAAGATGCCATTCGCTGGCCAATCAAAGACGTGAAGCATGCTCTCTCACCGTTGCTCTGAGCAGTGGCGGTTGTCAAGGAGACAGGGTGTTGCATGCTTGCTCCCAAGCCCCCGTAACCACGGTAACTGTAGTTGAGCCCACCATTGATGTAGAGCTGGTCCTGGGAGTAGGCTGAGGCGGCCAGAGAGTAGGCAGAGTGGGCCAGGGAGGCCGGCTCGTGAGAACTGGGCTTGTCAAGTGCTATCTGCTCCTCCTGGGGGGAGACGAGAGAGAGTTTTCAGTCCCACTTTCACGTATATAATAAGAACAGACTTTGCCATTGGCTATTGGAAAACATCCACAGTACATCCATCCACCTGAGAAAATAGACACGTACACACACACACACACAACACACACACCGACTAACACACCGACGAACACACACACACACACACACAGAGTACTCACATGTGCCTGGTAGACATCCAGGCGCAGCCTCTTGGCAGCCTTGCGTGTCTCGCTCTCACAGGCGGCTGCCAGGATGTTCTCAGCCATGGCTGAGGTGAGGTGAGGTGGGGTGGGTCGTGTCTGGCAGGGGAGAGACAATCAGCACAAATTCATCCCCACGTCAGAGCAGAGTACCCTTTTTAAGGTTGAATAAAGCTTGTTATAGCCAGTACTGTCTGCTCTTTGCTTAAGAATAGACAGTTATGCTTTGCTTGAATTCTTGCCAGAATAATCAACACTGCATACAGTAGTGTGTACACAGTAGGCACCATAATGTGAACATCCCAACATTGTGTGAAAATAACACATTGACCACAGGGGGGCAGTACAGAGCATATATAAAACACTAATAATACAGAACATTTTCAGAAGCACCTGCTCATTACAAAAAGTTTCCAACTCATCTATTACAGATGAAGCTTTACTAGATAGTCTCATTCCTAACCAGATTCATGAGCACTGACTACATTTTTAACAGAATATTTGACCAGGTAAGGAACAAAATTAAAGTATTATATCCTGATCTAAGAACCAATGTTGATACAAACTAGCAAAGAAAATCAATGATGATGAATCCTATGGGAGTACTGTTGCTAGACAGAGCCCAGACAACATCTATACATGGGGGATGGAGGGGGCCAGAGCAAATGGCTACCAGACCAGTCACACACAGGACCACGAGAGAGGGAGGGATGAGAGAGGGGGTATGAATGAGAGGGGTGAAAGATGAGAGGGAGAGAGAGGTGTGGTACGTCTAGACCAGCCACACACAGAATGAGGAATGAGAGAGAGACAGAGATGAAGGGATGAAAGAGAGTAGGAATGAGAGAAGGATGAGAGGAGATATGGTAGATGCGGTACGTACCTCCATGCCGTTCTTCTTCATGCGGCGGCAGGATTTGAGGTAGGTGCGGATGCGCTTGCGAGCACGCAGCTCGAACTCTGGGAACTGGCGGCTGCACGACTCGATGATGGCCTGGATCTTCTCCTTGGGCTGCTTTGAGATGGGCACCATGCGGTCCAGGTTCTCATCCACAAACAGACGCACAAACATCTGAAAAGAAGATTTAAAAAATCCTGTAGAAAAAAAGGTGTCTGCTCTGCTAGCTATTTGCTGTTTCCAGTGCTCCTGAGGTGAAGGTCATGTAAAGGTGAGGTGAGAGGAGCTCTTACATTGTGTGTGTTTTGTGTGTGTGTGTTTGCACATGTGTGGTGTGTGTGTGCATGTGCGCATGCTGTGTGTGTGGTTGAGGTGAGAGCAGCTCTTACGTTGAAGGCCTTTAGTCTCTCGGGGTCCATGCCCTCTGTGTCGTTGATCTTGTCACTGTCGTCGTGATCATCATCGTCATCATCGTCGGCCGCCGCTACGCCTCTGCTCACGGTCAGGTCCTCGGCACACGTCTCCATCTTCAATGAGTCGTAGCTTCCTGAGCTGTACTGAGGAGACTGTCACACACACACACATATAGGTGCACGTGCGCATTCACACACAGGTTCGTACACAAACACACACACATCAAAACACACATGCACAGGTGCACACACACACACAGAATAAGCACAGACAAAGAAAGAACAGACACAAAGCCGGGGTAAGGTTTTCACTCCGTCTGTATGCTAGGTGACATTGAAAGCACCCGGCACAATCTCAATCATGAGGAACACTGAAGACAGTGAGACACAAAACACTGCTAGCTGTTGTTGTGCCTAAACTGTTCTATTTGTCTGATCCTTCCAATGCGGCAAAGAAGATGCTTTCAAGGACAAGGCTGCATTGTCAGAGCATGGTGAAGTGTGTGTCTAATTCAATAGCCAGAGAGCAGGAAGGAAGAACCTTTTATCCCCTCTCTCCTTTCATACTGTCCTCCACTGACTCCTGTATGGATGTTCATCACAAGTACAGCAACACAACTAGGCTACTTCTCCTGGCACAGCCGCTCTCACTGCTCTCATGCACATTCTCTTGCTGGTTTTCTATCACGACTAATGTCTTGGATTCCGACCTGAGAGCGTTCTCAGAATGGTGTCTATTAATTCTCCATCCACTGGAAATTGATAAGTAATTGCAGTTTGGCGAGATCTCAATGGAATCTTCTCTCAGCTTTGTCCAATGCCCTGGCAATGAACCTCACCTTCTTGTGCATTCCTCACCCATCATAGTCGGTCATAGCAAGACATTGGTCATCTATAACAATGGCACACTGAGCTGTCAAGACTATTCCTCACACGGTACTGGTTGGCTCATTGCTCAACATTATCACTTTGTGTGTAATAAATCACCATTAGACCTGGGGTCAAATACTATTTGAAATCATTCAAATACTTTGAAATACTTTTACTGTTTGCTTAAGTCTGCCTGGAGTGCCAGATGGGCGAGGCTTGCAGTTTTACATCCTATTCTATTGGTTCATTGCACCAGGTAAACTCAATCAATCCCAGCTAAAGTATTTTAAATATTTTCAAACACAGATCTGGGCAGAAGGCCTCACCTTGTTGCCGTAGTCCCTGATCGAGTCTCTGTCCAGGCGCAGCTCAGCGGCATGGGGGAGAGGCTTGACGGGGTACTTCCTGCGCAGCTCGTCTGGGGTGTCGGGCTGGAAGGGGCCCATCAGGGCAGACCCAGGTAGCCTGGTTTCACTCAGGTTGACTGGAGCCTGTTGGTCCTCGGACGATGAAGACGAGGAGGTGGTGCTGAAGTCAAGCGGGGCCGGGGGCCCGTTACCGTTTACCACCTTCCTGTAGGGGGTTCCCCCCACGCACCCTTCAGACCCCGGGGCTGCCCCGCCCGCAGACGGAAGGGTCATGGTGTGCATGCCGTTCCCGCTGCCGCTCTCCGAGGATGAGTCGTCTGTTGAAACAAAGGGAGGAACACCAGTTAGACTGGTAGAATCATCATCAGAACACTACACTGGAAACACACAGGGAGGAACACCAGTTAGACTGGTAGAATCATCATCAGACACAACATCAGCTCCAGACATTTAGAGAGGGAGGGGAAATATAAAGTGTAGCCTACATCACACCTTGAGTATGAATCCCACCCTCAACCCAGCCAAGGCCTCAGTGTGTCAGTACCGCCAATTAGCAGTAGAGAGAGCTGTTGTAGTCAGTAAGAATGCCCATGGACTAATGCCCATGGAAGAATGCCCATGGAACACTCAGTGTGGTGGCTTTATAGTGCACTCAGTACAGTGTTACAGCCATGGTGCAGCAGGCAGGCAGAGAGGCAGGCAGAGAGACGTGTGCTACGGTGCTGTGAGTTAGTTAATTAAAGCCATCCAAGCAGGACCAAGGCCAGACAGTCAGTTATACTTATTCATGAGAGCAAGTACAGAGAGCAGAGAGAGAAGCAGCGCCACCTCCCCTGTACCCCAGTCACACACTGTATGCTACACACAATAGAACCAGGCAAACTAACACCAAGTCTGACCATCCATGAGCCCAGCTCGTCTACTTGTCTCTACACAGACACACACATCCCTCCCCTCCTCTCTCCCCACCAAAGAAAATGGTGCCCTCCCCATCCACCAGCCTGTGGTGAGCAGCTAGCTCCTTAACTCAACCAGAGGCAGCTACTAAATAAGTGATTGTTTAGTGCATGGCTCTGCCACTGAGCCACGCTGATGGATGGCCTGTGTGTTTTTCCACAGTCCTCCTTGTCCCCATCTCGGTCAGACGCACACACACACACACACACACACACACACACACACACACACACACACACACACACACACACACACACACACACACACACACACACACACAATGACTAGAAGTAGGAGGGGCTGTAGTATCTCTGTGCATTGCTGTGTAGTGCTCCACCACCTCTCATTGGCTAGTATAGGTTAGTGGTGGTGGAATGGGCCTAAGGACCCCTGCTTGTCCTCATCACACAGACTCCCATTCTCACAGACACACTGCCTGGCCTGTGTGCATAACCCTCTGAGTGGGACTAAGAGGGGCTCACGTGCCTCTCCCAGTGTGTGTGTGTGTGTGTGTGTAGATTTGGACTTAATGCCTACGTACCGTTTGGAGAGTGTGCGTGCAGTGAGGACAGTATTGGGGTCAGCTTTCCAAAGCCACCAACGAGGGAGGGGAGGGGAGGAGAGACAGCCAGACGCATAGAGCAGGTCAATGACAGAGAGGGAGGGGGAGGGAAGGAAAGGAGAGGGGGGAGGGAAGGGAGCTTGGGGAGGTAGGCAAGAAGCAAGGGCAGGGAGAGCAAGAAGGTAGAGATTTAGAAAGGGTGCAAGAGAGGGATCAGAGAGAGTTGGTTATTCCATGGTAGAGGGAGGTATGGGTAGAAAGTAGAGACCAGTGTGTGGGGATAGAGAGGGGGAGATGAGAGGCTAGGAACTAGGAAGGTGGTCAGAGGGGGGTTGGGGGTAAAGAGCAGGTCAGGGAGAGGGAGAGAAAGGCAGAGGGAAGAGGAAGAGAGGGGATGAAGCAAGGGAGAGCAGGAGGAGGGAGATACGTAGAGGGAGATAGTTGGTAGGAAGGAGAGGCAGGAGGAAGGATATATATTGGGAGGAGGGAGCTAGCAGGGGAGGAGGGACCCGGAGAGAGGAGGGAGAGAGAAAGGAGCAGGAGGAGGGAGATAGAGTGGGAGGAGGGAGCGAGCAGGAGGAGGGAGAGAGCAGGAGGAGGGAGATAGAGTGGGAGGAGGGAGGAGAGGCGGGAGGAGGGAGGAATGAGGGGGAGGAGAGGGAGGAGGAGGGATAGGGGAGGTAGTGAGAGAGAAGGAGGAGGGTGTCGGAGCAGGAGGAGGGAGATAGAGTGGGGAGGAGGAGACGGCAGGAGGGGCGGTTCTTTTGTGAGAGAGCAGGAGGGAGGAGGGAGGAGGGGACTCTGCTGGAGAGAGTGGGAGGAGGGAGAGAGCGGGAGGAGGGAGATAGTGGGAGGAGGGAGAGAGGGGAGGAGGGAGATGGAGGAGGAGAGAGGAGGAGGGAGAAGAGTGGGAGAGGGGGACGCGGAGCAGGAGGAGGGAGCGAGCAGGAGGAGGAGATGAGAGTGGAGGAGGGTGCGAGCAGCGGAGGAGGAGAGAGAGAGGGGAGGAGAGGGAGAGGAGCGAGAGGAGGAGGAGGGAGGGAGGAGGGAGGAGCAGAGGAGGAGGTAGAGGGGAGGATGGAGAAGGGGAGGAGGGACGAGCAGGAGGAGGGAGATAGTGGGAGGAGGAGCAGCGGGAGGAGGAGAGGGGAGGAGAGGAGATAGAGTGGGAGGAGGGAGCGAGCAGGAGGAGGGAGATAGAGTGGGAGGTGGAGCGAGAGGCAGAGGCTGAGAGGGATGAAGAGAGATTGAGAGAAAGGGAGAGGCAAGAGAGGGGAGGGAGAGAGAGGGGGGAGAAGGAAGGTGAAGAGCAAAAAGGCAGGAAAGGAAGGTGTTAGAAAAAGGGAACGGGAGAACGATGGGGAGAGAAGGACAGAGAGGCTGTGGTGGTGGTGGGTTATGGCAGCAGAGGGAGGGAGGGAGGGAGGCAGGCGGTGTGTATTTATTCAAGTATAAAAAGTATTCATGCACAGAGAATAAGGCCAGGCTAATTCCTGCCAGCTCAACACAAATCCCCCTCAGCAAGACCGTGGTCGCCTGCTGGGGGAGTCACCGTCCTCTGCTGCTCTTAAAGGCACACGACACCCAGCTCTTTCCTGTATCTGTATCCTCCCTGTACTGTACTGTACTTTACTGTCAGCAGCACCCATTTTGGGTAACAATGAATTTGTATGCTACCTGTCCCTATCCAAATATACCAAACATGCCAATATGGCAAACATGTAGGCTAATTTACTCAGCATAGCACAACTGAAGATCTAGATGCTGAGACAGACAGACAGACAGAGTACACATAAGGTTATAGTACAGTTAAGACACAAACACACACACAGACAGAGTACGTTTAACACTGAGTAACAGTGGCTATGCATGTTGATGGAGACCAGACAGAGTAGAGGATGGCAGACTACAAGGCCTTTAGTAGTCTAGGAATGCAGAGTGCAGACAGACAGACAGACATGCTGCTAAAGTAATATGGGTGGACACTTCTGCTTTCTCCCACCCACAGCTTTAATGACTACTAATGACTCATAGGCTACATCTCAAATGGCACTATATTCCTTACACAGCGCACTACTTGTCTCTACTTGTCCTTCGCAGTGAAAATGTACACAGCGTGGTAAATATGATCACCTCTCCAGTCTCAACACAATGCTACAGTACAGGCAGCTAGGACCACAAACACTTTACACAACAAGTGTGGTTAGTGCCCTTGAAATAACTAGGAGGACACACTGTTTTTGGGCAAAAGGCAACAGATGAGATATGGGTTACGTCCCAAATGGCACCATATTCCCCACAGGCCCTGTTCAAAAGTAGTGCACTATGTTGGGAATAGGGTACCATTTGGGACACAACCAGTGTTGCACTCCAACCTAACCAGACATTAGGTATCAACACAACACACACTGAACTTTCTGTCCACCAAAGATTAATGTGGCTTTTAAAGAGGAGGACGGCAGAGCAACAAGTTACGCTAATTTCCTTGAAAGTTTGCAAGAGAGAAAGAGATAGAGAGAGCGAGAAAGAAAGAGAAAGAAAGAGCTAGGGAGGGATGGAAAGATAGGGGGGGGAGAGAGAGTATATAGTGGAGAGAGAAATGTGTGTCAACCACAGCAATACTCTCTGATCACTGCTCACGCATCACTGCTTTGAACACTGCTCTTCTCCTCTACCTGCAACTTTCCCTTTCTCTGCAATATAAAATCTAATCAAATTGTATTTGCCACATGCGCTGAATACAACAGGTGTAGACCTTACAGTGAAATGCTTACTTACAAGCCCTTAACCAACAATGCTGTTTTTAAGAAAATAAAAAAAAGTGTTAAGTAAAAAATAGCAAATAATTAAAGAGCAGCAGTAAAATAAAATAACAGTAGGGAGGCTATATACAGGGGGTACCGGTACAGAGTCAATGTGCGGGGGCACTGGTTAGTCTAGGTAATTGAGGTAATATGTACATGTGGGTAGAGTTAAAGTGTCACGATCGCCAATAAAGTAGGACCAAAGCGCAGCGTTGGGAGTGAACATGATGACTTTAATGTAGAAATGACGACAAAACAAAACACGATCCGTAACGTCCTCAGTACACTGACTGAACATAGAACAAAAACCCACAACTAACACAAGAAAACCTACATCTTAAATATGGCTCCCAATCAGAGATAACGAGCCGACAGCTGACACTCGTTACCTCCGATTGGGAGTCATTGAATACAAACAAGGAAACACAACCACAACCTAGAAATAGACACAACAGAACTCCCCACCTAGAAATAAACGTGACAGACATGCAACCATAAAACATCACCCAAAACCCAACAAAACAACATACACCCTGGCTCAAATACACAAGTCCTGGAGCCAGAGTGTGACATAAAGTGACTATGCATAAATAATAAACAGAGTAGCAGCAGCCTAAAAGAAGGGGTTGGGGTGGGGTGGGGTGGGGGGGCAATGCAAATAGTCCGGGTAGCCATGATTAGCTGTTCAGGAGTCTTATGGCTTGGGGGTAGAAGCTGTTAAGAAGCCTTTTGGACCTAGACTTGGCACTCCGGTACCGCTTGCCATGTGGTAGCAGAGAGAACAGTCTATGACTAGGGTGGCGGAAGTCTTTGACAATTTTTAGGGCCTTCCTCTCTCCCTCCTCTCCGATGTGATCAGGACAACATAGAACATCTGGAAAATCTGTTTTTGGGCTAGGGGATAGGTCTGTTTCTATTCTATATGCATGCAGGATAAATGTAAAAAAGCCACATCCCTGCTCCCTCTAGGAAAAATAGAAATCCATCCCTGCCTC